ACTGGTAGTCTAACAATTATAGGCATAGAAAATGGCCAAGTTTTTTTTATTTACTTCATACCAACACTCTTGTAAAAGGCATGAATCTATCTCCCTTCAATTAGGTAGGTAGCAGACCAGCCTGAACTCTCTTACATTGGGTTGCAACTCATCTAGAAGTAAAACTTAATTCAAACTGATTGGGTGTAGTACACATGATGTGGAGCGCAAAAAGAGCTATGATGACGATGATGATGCCTTGCTGTTATACATGCTTGAGATAACACCCAATCCTAGCAAATTCAGTTTATGAATTTTTAGCATTTAAAATATCTATCGGTTTTGTAACCTAAAACTTGAGAAACATGGTCAAATCTTACTACTATTACAACTAATATTACTGCTAGTTGAAACAAAGTGAGTTATTCTACCTGCTCTCTCTCTCTCTCTCTTTGTACTTTGCCTTTACAATTTTTAGTGATTTGGTAGGTGGGAGAGAAGGGGGTGAAAAGTAATTTTTGTAAAGGATGTTGTTTGTTTATAAGCGATAATATTAAATGACATGGTTAGTGTTATATAGGGCAGAAAACCAGTTTTTCCTTTTCCCTTGGCTCACCAGCCGAAGAGAGAAGAAATTCAAGAGAGTTGGTGAATAATGTTGAAGGTCAAATGTTGATAAATTTCACTTGAGTGATATGGAAAGTAAAACACTTCACTTGCATTCACATTGTTTATGTATCTTAAAACTTCTTATGAAACTGGACAGTTATAGATTTTTAAGCCAGGATGTATCTCATACATATATACATACATACATACATACATACATACATACATACACACACACACACACACACACACACATATATAAGTGCAGGGAATGATTTTCGTTAAGCTCAGATTCAGGGTTGCCAGATTATGTGATATAAAAATATATATTAATACATTATACTAGCCATTATTGTTACTTTTCATACTTCAAGGGCAGTAATTCTAATTTTCCTTTTGTATCCAAAATTGCAGTGCACGTTTTATTGTAAACTAGCTTTGCCTCTTGTGGAGGACTCTTGTTGGCCATCATCACAAGGGAGGAGTAGATGTAATAGGCATCAATAAACTACATAAGAACTCAAAATTGATTGCTGCATTTAAGTATCGAATTAATGTTTAAGCTTACCTTTTAAAAGTTCAATGATAATTCTTCTGCTGCCACTTATTTTAAAGATGATTTGATTTATGTATATCCTTATTTTCCGTACAAACAATTTTTATTTCATGGGTGACAGAACAGGGGACAATTTATAAGATAAAATTAATATAGTGTAAAAATGGGAAAATAGAAATTAGAATTAGATATACATTGAACATCTGAAGAGTTAGAGTAACATAATAGCTAATTAAGTAAAACCTATATTATGGAATCTATATGAATAAATGCAAAATTGGAGCTCAATTCTCCCACAAATTCTGAGATTAAAAAGACCCAGCTCTACTTTATAGTAATTGTATTTATCCATTGGTTGTGCTGGCCTAGGTGTGTGAAATGAAAGGGTGCAGCCTCGAGCAACCGTTCCCCAGGGCTAGGCACCTCTTGGTATAATTTTTTTAGTTGCAATTCTGACCTTTGACCACTCCTGAGCACACACTCCCTAAAGACAGAGATGATAGATGATAAATAATGTGTTACAAACTAGGTATTTACTCTGTCTCCCCAGACAAGTTGTGATACAAGGTCTATTTTAAGGTTGGGGACCTGAGCGCATACACCTGGGCAAGAAACAAAAATTGCTTGCAGCCCCGGCAACAGTATAATTTTCCTCAGTTATGACTCTGCCCTTTGATGGAGTCGCTCCTGAGTGCACTCTGCCCAAAGACAGACGTGCAACTGAGAGATGATATATAATGTGTCACAAACTACTTGAGGGCGCAATTTTGATTAGGAATATTGTCTTATATAGTGCAGAAAAGTGTTTGAAATTTGCATTTTACTTGGCCTTCAGCAAGTTGGCATCTATTTGTAAAACTTTCCTTAACTATAACAACCCAATTTATGAATGAAATCTTCATTTAAAATTTTTATTTCAAAGATTTCAAGTAGTGAATTTATCTTGCTTTGCAAAGTGATAGCGAGCGGGTGAAGCCTGCTAGTTTTATATAAATATAGATATTTACTAAGTTTGTACTTTGTTTGGTACAAGGCCAAATGGTAGCAGGAAGAAGATTGTATTGTATTAGTCTTTCAGGTGGAATGGACCTGTCTGCTTTGAAAATTTGCATTTTAAATCCCCACCATTATGTTTGAACACTGACTGCTGGCATTAATAGAAAATATACATTAATATTAGCCAAAAGGCATGTATAATAATTTTTTTTAACTTTAAAAATAGAATTTATTAACAAGCAGCTCATGGCAAAATCATATACAAATATTAACTTTTACTATTTATGGAAACAGCATTACAATATACAATTCTATAAGTTAGCAATTGACTAAACTGCTGTTATCAAAGGAACTTTATCAAAAATGTTGTGGACTAAACTATTTGTTGCTCAAATATACTTTTTATTTCAACTACTGTTAATCTTGATTTGCAAAGTAACAAATATTCCAATCCGGGTAAACTTGGGCATTAAAAAATATTTATGGTAAAGTTTCAGGAATATTTGTATTCAGAACAAAGTATGTAAATTTCAAGACTTATATATATATATATATATATATATATATATATATATATATATATATATAAATCATACTTATTATAAAACCTAGGTTGTGTGTGTGTGTCTGTACGTCTATATATTGGATCAGGTTTGCTACATTTTTCAACCGATTTCAACAAAACTTCACAGGACTACGTAAAATTACCTTGCGGTGGTTCTGATAGCGCCAGAAATTGGAAAAACACAGTTGTTTTTGCATGAAATCAATTTGAAAACACGATTAAGAGGCATGAAAGGAGGACAACTCATATCGAGTTAGACTTATTATAAAACCCAAGTTGTTTGTGTGTGTGTTCGTTTATATATGGGATCGGATTCCCTACATTTTTCAACTGATTTCAACAAAACTTCACTTTTTTTTTTTTTCTTTTTTGGCAGGTAGTGTTTTTTATTGTCTTGCACACTTTTTTCTTTATTTTACATTCAGAATGCTTTAAAAATTCCATTTACAAGACAATTGTTTATAATAAAATTCTATTCAATCGGTAGACTCATAACAATTGAAAACAATGTTTTTGTTTGAGTTTGACTAATTCGTAAAAAAACAAAAAAAAAAAAACTAATTAAGACATGCATGTCCGTCAACCTTAAACAATAATCTTTGTCAATTTTATTTTTCAGTCTTTATGATGATTGATACTTGATCTATCTCTCATTGTTACATTCCGGCAATGCCGGCAATAGTATATATATATATATATATATATATATATATATATATATATATATATATATATATATATAATGAAAAACAGACCAATTTAAGGTACCATTACAATAATTTATTTCACCAAAATCCTTTTAAATTTCATCCTCCTTGGAATTACCCATACGGTTTACCAAGTTCTTCATAACTTATATATATATATATATATATATATATCTTTTCCTCTATAAAAATTCAGTCTGGAATTCACTTTTTGTAAAATTGAAAGAAATCTGAGCATTCTGCTGACATTTTGTTAATGTTGATTTTATTGTTTTCTTTAAACATTAAAAAAAATAAATTAATATATAGAAAATACATGATCCAATTTTGAAATAATTTATTAAATATAAAAACATCTACATTAACAATTTGATTTGTGTTAAGTGTCTAAATACTTAATTTTTAAATTTAGCTACATAAAAAAAACTTGATGGTTTAAATACATTTTTCAAGTACTAATAGTAAGAATTGTAATAGTGCAATAACATATTACTTGTGGGCTACAAATACATATATACTCTGTGTGAATAGTCTAATTTTATATACCATAAATATTGAGAAAAGTAAATAAATTAACTGTTAGTACAGAATGTAAGCTAAGTTCAAGGTATTTCTAGTTGTATGTATTCTAAATTATGAATCATATGAATCTCTATTCTGTATGTGTGGTCTTCTGAAATTGCATTGAATGTTATCAAGGATTTAGAAGCAAAGGTAAGCACTTTGTTGTTTCCATGAAATTCAAAGATGAATAGATGGAAAAAGAGAAGGCAGTTAGAGGAACAGGCAGGCTATGCCATGTCTTTTAATAAGAGGCTGTTTCAACAGGTGGCTAGCATGTTTCTTTCTCCGGGAGAGCAGCTTTTCTTTTTTTTTTTTTTTTTTCCCTTATTGCTTGTAGAAATATTTTGAAAAAAATCTGATATCAATTTTGTCAGTCTACAAGAGATTTTTTTTATGGATTTATGTCGACTGATTCTATTTCAGTAATTTTGGTAACCTTGGTTGTGAATCTAAGTAGTATTCATATCTGAAAATTGATTTGGTACAAAGGACTTTGGAAGTATTGAGAGGAGGAGGAAGAAGAGAAAGAATAATACCATGCATTTCTTTCTTTCTTTCTTCATACCTTACATGAGATCAAAAACACACACACAATTTTAAACTTTGTTTTTTTTTTTTATATGGAATAAAAATAGAGAATCAGTGGGTTTATTAGGTGCCCTAAAAAAAGATTATTACTTGGTTTGAAATTGAATAAATTTTTTTTATTTATAATTAAATTTAAATACAAGATGAAAGAATTTGATTGATCAACCCATTTACAGGTTATTTAAAGCCAGAGAATATTTTTAGATTGAAAGAATTTTTTTTTTTTTTTTTTTTTTTTTTTTTTAATAATAATGATTTTAGTGGTACAAGTTTTACAAATTAATTTATAGCTAGGAGTAGAAAAAAGGTGGATTCATATCTTTTCCAAAGGTATTTGTGCCATAGTGAATATAACAAACCAAATGGGAATTAAAACTTGACTCTCTCTGATTAATAATTCTGAATAATTATCCATCACACCACTCACAAATCCAAGCTTACAGCACCTGGTATTCACAAGTAGTCACCCATCAAGGTACTGACCAGACTCAGCATTGTTTAACTTTGGTGATTATACGAAAACCGGTGTTTCAACATGATGTGGCCTTAAACTGAAATGGAAGAAGTGTATGATAGTTTGCTAAAAAAAAAAAAAAATTCATGTTCATTAAAAATGGGACTTACAATTGATAATATAATAAATTTTGCTGTTAAAAGATTACAGTGAAAATTCTCTTGCAGTTGTGAAAGTCCTGACCTGTCAGCAGTTGAGGTCAAATATATCAGTTGCAAAGTTGTAGTGATGAAGGTAGCAATGTGAAGAAGGCTTAGTCTGTATTTCTTAGAAAGTTGGTTTCAGAATAAATGGTTAGTTTTGGTTTTAGTCATATTGTCCAGAGTTTTGCTTTGCCACTTGCATATCCGGTAAATTGCTCAAAATCAATTGCTTGAAAAATAATTTTTTGAACTATCAATTCCTCGAAAGGCAGTTTGCTCGAAACCTGTAGTTAAAAAAAAAATGAAACGACATTGTTTGTAATATTGACTATAAGATAAAATAAGGTAAATATTGGTTTTGTTACCCATGCACTAATATCCCTTAAAATTTTTCGAAAATTGTCATAATTCCGTGCAAATGTACATGCTGAATTCGAATTAACAATTAAATTATGAAGAAACCTTACCATTTTGGAGTTATTGACAAGAAAAAAATCAGACTTCTTGTTGGTCATTCGTCCCCCATTACTGCCATCATGACTTGATTCACCGCGTAGTACCTACACAGGCGTAATCAGAAAATTTGGCCTATTTACTTCTTTTACAGACTTTCCTTGCAGAAAATCACTACACACTACCGTAAAGAAATGTAATTTTTTTTTTTTATTTTAATTTTAAAATATAAAAATGCTATTATTTAATTTGTTCTCTTAATTTCTCATTGCCTAAAGTTCTTTGGGGTTAGATGTTGAGGTTAGGGGTGGGGGGTTTTCTTTCTGTGTAGAAAAGGGGACAAATTAAAAATAAAAAACATTAAATAATTTACCAAGTTTGTGCATTAATTTTTTTTTTATTATTTTTAATTTTAAAATATAAAAAATGTTTTATTTTTATTATTTAATTTCTCTTAATTTGTCATTGCTATTCAAAACGGAAAAAAGGTTCTGTTGTATTATTTAATTTGTTTTTGTTATAAATAAAACTACTTACCAAAAAAAAAAAAAAAAAAATTACATTTCTTTACGGTAGTGCGTAGTGATTTTCTGCAAGGAAAGTCTGTAAAAGAAGTAAATTGGCCCAAATTTTATGACTCTGCCGCAAAGTGTGCCGCAGTGAATTACTTCTAAATAAGCCGGTAATGACACAAGGCCGACAAGAAGTCCGTTTTTTTTTTTTTTTTTTTTTTTTTTTTTTTTGTCAATAACTTCAAAATGGTAAGGTTTCTTCATAATTGAATTGTTAATTCAAATTCAGCATGTACATTTGTACGGAATTATGACAATTTTGAAAAAATTTTAAGGGATATTAGCGCGCGGGTAACAAAAACAATATTTACCTAAAATAATACAACTTTATTGTTAACTGAACAGTTAAAATTAAAGAACGAGTACATTTATATAGCTGGTTTATTTTTTTTCTCGAAAGGCAGTTTGCTCAAAACCTATGGTTAAAATAAAAAATAAAACACGTGCTAAGCATTTTCTCTTTTTGCACATTTCACATTTCCAGTAAATCTTATTGTTCACCGTTTTGTCCTTAATATATAGATATCCATCCAAACAACTTCTTCTTTCCTTTTTTGCTCTCAACAAAAGTTATGTCCATCACTAGGTTTCGAGATCTCCAAAATTACTGAAATAGAAAACAAATATAAATAAAAAAACAGGACTGCTAAAGTTGAGTGTTGTGGCTCCTTTTATATCCAGCTCCATTGACGTGGTGCGAGACAGCGCAGTTTACGTGGTGCTTCGAGATTCGAAATTACTTTGAGCAATCTGCCTTTCGGGCAATTGATAGTTTGAGAAATTATTTTTCAAGCAATTTACCGTTGAGCAATTGATTTCAAGCAATTTACTGTTGAGCAATTTACCTAGATCCGGCTGCTTGACATTTCAGAATCTTTGTTGGCCTCCTCTGCAAATGTTAATTATAAAGGTTGTCCTCTTGTCTTTGTGATTATCTATCCTGATTGTGTGTGAAGGAATAATAATTTTTTTTTTTTTCCCCCCACTGACCAGCAACCCTGTTTATATTTAGGTTGCCAGGATCACTCGGCTACTATCATGGGTTTGAAATACCTTGTTTCCAATTGGTGGAAAATAATCCAATTTTCCTTCAAAATCCTTTTTTTTTTTTTTTTTCTAGAATATTTAAATTTTATTGTCCTGAGCCAGACATAGTTTCACCGAATATAGTTTTTCCAAATTCACAGCTGTCTTGAACACTTTATTGGTTATTAAAATCTTTGTTTTTAGGAAGAGGCAAATGGCATAGAATTGTAATTTGGTTTTTCACATAAATTTGCGCACACACACCACTATTTTTAGGCAACAAACCTTCATGTAAGTATGTTTTATTAAACAGAAAAGACGAAATTGATAATTTAAAAAAAAAAAAAATGAAAGAAAATCAACCTATATTGGTTATGCCATAACATCTTGTTCAAGGAAGTTGATTTGTCATATCAGTGAGCAAAGAGTTATATACAAACATAACACAAATTCACAGCACTCCTATTAATAATTTCCAACAGATTTTGGTTGACTATACAACAGTTCTCTACCATGCTAACTGCAAAAATGATTAAAAGTCTTGGAGGCTCTTTACATCAAAAAAGAAAATCTGTAATTTTGGCAAAGTTTTTTTTTTTTTTTTTTTTTTTTTTTTTAATACACATTTCCATCCAAGATAAAGTGATTAATTCAGTACCAAGAGAAACTTAGTAAAAGGTCCAATAGACATTCTTTTAATATAACAAATATAATTTTCCAGTTTCTGTATGCTTCAGAAGTTTAGAAAATATAGATGGTCAATGAAGACCAACCTCGACCCATTCCCCCTTTTTTGGCCTTGTGCCACAATTATATTTTTTTACAATAAATCTTTGCTTCAGAAGTTTAGAAAATATTGTATAATTTTAAATTTTGCCAGTAATCTTATTAAGAAACTGGAATGCATAAAGGTTATAGATACAATGGAACTGGTAAACTGAGTTTAATTTTCAGTTGCCGCCTTTTGAGAAGGGCATAAAACCATTCTCCCTGAACTTAAAAGTATCTGGTCACTGGCATGTTTCCTACCATTTTAGGTCCTTGGTCCTTCTCCAGCACTTATTGTTTGAGCATTGTTTACCTTTGTGTCTTATTCATTTGCTATTTGTCTTGTGTGGATTTTTTACCCCTGAAATTTAGAATTGTGTGTGTGTGTTGAGGGTGGGGAGAGAAAGCATGCAAAATCTTTGACCTAAAGATTCTTTGAAAAAAAAAAAGTGAATAAAATTTAGGTTTATTACTTCAATCAAAATACTATAAAAGTAACTTATTCATCAGTGCTTTTTGTTATGTTTTCAACTGACAACCTGTTTCCTAAATTGCCTCATTCTATTTATCCTTCTCTCTCTCTCTCTCTCATAAGAATATATGAAGCAGACCAACCAGTTTTATTTACAGAAATTAGATGTCATAAATACTTTGTCAGGAGAAATCAAAATTACTTTGATGACCAACCATTTCATAATGATCAATATCCCACATTCATTTAGTTTTTCATTGAGTGCTTTCAGTCTTGTCCCTCTTCTACATCTACTATAATAACCTCATTTCTCAGCAATTTTTTTTGCTTGAATCCTTTTGTGTTGACTTAGCTCATGAACATGGGCAGACTGATCAATAAATCGATTTTATATTTGAGCTAATAGAACATTTTTGGTAGATTTCAATTTTTCCCCTTGACTACTGGGACTGTAATGACTTAGTGAAACTCTTACACACACACACATATATATATATATATATATATATATATATATATATATATACACACACACAGATATTGTGAAATTTTTAATGTGTATATTTTTTCTTAGTCTTTTTATAAAGCTGCAAATATCCAAAGGGGAATAACCTGGTTTATTGCATAATGAGGTTTCTATAATTCATACAAAATTAAAATTGTAATGAATAAGTATTATTGATGAAGATCTTTATGGAATAACAGTTCAGGCAAAATCAATGGAGGAAAGAATAATAGTTTAAAGTTTTGAAAACATTATTTTTTTTTTCTTTCTACAAATATTCACAATATAATTAAATAAAAATTTTCCTAAGCAATATTTTGTTACTTTTAAATTTTCTGATTTTTTTTTTTTTTTTTTCATAGAATTTACAACCCCTTCAAAAAATATGACTAATTTTAATTTTCAAGCAAAGTATTTTTTTTTAACTTATTGATAAAGTCATTGACTGAAATTTAAAAAATTCATGATTAGTTGGGAGGTATTTAAATTAAGAAAAATTATTCTTGCTACTTTTTATTTATTAAATAAAAGGAAACTGTTTAATTTGGTCATTAATGTAATAAGTACAGAAAGTTATATTAAAATTAATGGAATTTTCTGGATTTATAGATGTCGGTATTTCAGGTTTAGAAATTCTATTTATTGACTTTTCATTGTAAAACCACCAAATGAAAATGAATTTAACTTTAAAAATTAAGATTAAAGTAAATACTATTCAAAATTAATGATAGTGGTTCATCTAATATAAAATAAAAAATAATACTGCTGATAAATATCTGTTTCTATATTTTCATTGGAGATAATTTTGATATCAAAATATTCTCAAATTTCATGAAAAATTGAATTTTCTATTTGATTTAAATTAATTTTTGTTTCAGGTATCAGTTTTGCATTGTCTGTAAAATTTTGCACTTGAACAGAAACATTTTTTTTGCATGTGTAGAAAGAAAATTGTGTGTGATGAGTAATTTTTTTTTTTTTTT